ATTTGACTCTCTTATTGCTGAAGAATTTGAACCTTTGCCCTGCACACCTTTTACCACCAAGTGTAAACCATCAGTCGTGTCCAAGTCTTAAGGGCGGTCAAAAATGGGGTGTCTACAGTAACCCAGGTGAAGAGACTCGTTAATTAGATTGAGATAAAGAAAATAGAGATAAATATAATTTGATGTTGTGACCTATATTCTATGGGCACCTCAGTTAGTAGCTCAATTTCAAATGGAAATGTAATGTTAAAAAAATTTAAGGACAGTGATGCCATTGATGGCAGTAATAGATTCCAGAAAGATATATTTGACAAAGAAGAACTATAAGTTCGCACAAAATTGCTAGCTTTAAGACTTAATTTTTCCAACTATTTTAAGTGTTCTCAACACTCAAATGGAACTAAAAAAATTAACTTAAGTAGCATGAATTTGAGAAATAAAAAATACACATACCTTGGTTAGAAAGTGATCTTTCCATTTGATTGAACACTAAGGATAGAAACTTAAGGGATGGGAGAGCACCCAAAATTCTGAAGGCATCCTTGTCAAAATGATTACCACTTAGATCCAGATGTCTCATCTTGCTCAAATTAGACAGTAGTTTAGAATCTGAGCATATGACCATGATCAAATTTCATTAAAAATCAACCCCAAAGAACCATAAGTGAAAATGACCAACTTATTGCTTTCACAGGTAATTAGGTACTTTGTAAAAAGACTTTCACTCTGATTCACAATTGTAGAGAATATATATATATATAGTGGTATATATGGAATTAGCACACACACACACACCCCTTATTTCACCAAAAACAATAATTAGGTAAACTACAAACCACTAGCTATGTCATTTTAATTAAAGAATCAATACACTTCCATTTGTTTCTACTCATGGGGAATTACCTGCTATGTATAAAACCAGACAATGTAGACAATTTCTTTCATAAGCAACATCTAACGTATTCAATCATATTTTCAATTTGAAATCAATAGGTAAGTTGAACCAGTTAAAAAGATAATATATAATAAATAATAAACAAAATGAAACAAAAGAAGTTGTAGAGCTAGAAGTACTAACAACTATTTCCCGGCCTTTTATTTCCTTTTCTTTTGTTTTGCTTTCTCTTTTTGGGCTTTTCTGTTATTTATTTAAATATTTGAAAATCAAGAGCACAATCATTGAATGGCACCATCATTATTTTACACATAATTGCACGGTAGAAATCTATGATTTTGAATGCTACTATCAAGGAAAGTGTCAGCTATCTAAATACAAAGTTATAACATCAGATTTCTATATATTGTTGATTTCAAGTAGACATTAAAATGTTCTTCTGAAGCTCAATGAATGACCCAACACTCTAAAATCCATGCATTGTCCAATGCCTTTGTCAAATCCTCTTCGCTTTAATTGATTCATGGCCTTTCTCTTTATGTGAACTTGTTGGAAATTGTCTCAAGTTCCTATCTTTAGGTGTTGGTTTTTCTTTTATGAAGTATTCTTGCGGCCTCTAAAGAAGAATGAGTAGTGCTGCTTGAGCAGAATATTTAAGCAAAAATTGCAAACTGACTCCAAATGGAAATTTTCTATTAAAAAAGCAAGTTAAAGGGTTATGCCTTGGTATCATATCTATTAAGTTGTGGTTTGTAAGTAGTATTATTTTGTTTGGGTATTTTGCTAGTACAGTCAATTTGGTGGGTAAAGAAGGTAAACCACATAATTATGTTTTCTGCTTATTTTTTATGCTTAATAATCTTCCTATGTTATCTTTTCCTGCTAATTCAACAAAACCTTGTAGTACAACATATACCAATGGCTAAAACTCTAATGGCTCAACATTATTTTAGTTGGGCTACTGAGCTAACAAAAACAACCAGATGGGGGTGCCTGTAAACATGCTGTAATATTTCTAGATGGGTAGATCAATATTTAAGAAGTTTGTTGCAAATAAACAGATATACTTTTGACCCATTGCTATAAGCTATAGTTGTGCCATTAATCATGGTATTTAGTGCTTGTGTCTCCATAGCAGGTGGTTTAAACATGAACTCATACATATAAAAAGAGAATTTATTGATAGTTCTATTCACCTGAATCTAGGAAGTTCTAAGTCATACCTTGCATTGTTAGGGAGCTAAGCTCATTAGAGCTTAAATCCAACGTCTCCAAGTTTTTCAACACCATTAATTCTGCATTGAAACAGTTCTTGTTAAGCTATGAATAAGATGAGGATGGATAATATATTCTCTTTGGGAGTTCTCATAAAGATAGACATGCCTCGGGCAGGAAAGGGATCTCCTAAGTTGTTGCCTTGAAGAGAAAGGTTTTTGAGAGATATCAATGAACTCAAACATAGAATGACGCTCTTGTTGGACCTGTTTCCTCGAAGATATAGCGTCTCTAGATTTTCCAATCTCGATAAGTTCTCACAACCTGCAGTAAATTTTTAAAAATTAACAACTTTTGCTTCATATTTTTGTAACTTCCAAGAAATTGATAATGTTCATTATATTATAAGTTAATGAAACGTTGAATCGATCAATCTTTCATTGGAGCTATGAGAATGACATTTAATAAACCACTACGAAAATTCATTATGTTTTTAGTTACCATTTACATATATAATTTTCATTTGGTTATTTCATTCCCATATTGAAGGAAACAGAATAGAGAGAGATGGGAGAGATTAAAAAAGGGCAACCTAATACACGGGCTCCTGCTAAAACAGGGTATGGGGAGGGGAGAAATTGCTATGAAAAAAGAATGGGAGAATTTATAAGACCTCATCTTGCTAATATTGCTATATGATTGTAATAATGTATTATTATTATTATTATTTTGATCGATTCATATACGATATTACAATGAAACCTAATGAAATACAATGATAATAATAAAAATTAAATACAGCACACAATTAGTACAAAAAAACTCTCAAAGAGGGAGAGAGAAACCCCAACAAATATACGGGGAACAATACCCTCACACAGGTTAGAAAATTCGAATCACTGACCTCATAGTATAGAGGTTTTGGTCAAACGGGATACATGATTGAAATTATTTTGTGATACACCAAATTCCTCATTCACTGTACTGGGATTTCAAATCATAAATTGGAGACTTTAAGTGGAATGCTATCGCTACTTACTAGCTGAGATTGCCAGCATCAATTTTAATAAAGAGTAATCAACAATCACGCTCTATTTAACATTGCAATTCTATTGCTAGAAGCCACAGAGGTTAATAATTTTCTCATTCAACTCAACCTTCTTTTTCAAAAGGGCTACAATAGTTATGGTTATCTATAATATGTTTGTGACTAGTGAGGCAATTTGGTTAGTTGCTGCACTATGTATTGAGAAGCACGGATACGGACACGGGACATGAATACAGCGTGATATAAACATACAAACATAACAATATTAAAAAAATCTCAACATACGAAGTGGAAGAACACGACAACTAATGAGCATATATTTTATATGCATTCCTCAAAAGGACAAATAGATACTGCTTCTTCTTTTACTTTATTTATTTATTTTTTTCTTTAACAGTGAAAGCATTGACTTTGTTTTGTTTAGTTTTTCAAAGCTGCTTTTGAATTTTTTATTTTTGAAGTTTTCTTAATTTTTTAATTTTATATATTTAGTTCAAATATTTTTACTTCTTAGATGCACTTAAAAAGTAATATATTTTTAAAGAAAAACTAAAAAAATTCACCAAAGGAAAAAAAAAAAACACACAAAAATGTCCATATTTTTTTTTAATTTTTTGTGAAGTTTCTTCAAATTTCTTCACAAATATTTGGAAAAGGATATGTACCCCGAAAAAGTAATATGTAATTTATCCTCAAAGTGATTGAACTTGGTATTATGTGGGCCACCCTTAGAATGAATGTGATCCACACATTATATTTTTTAGATACTTTTATGGATACTTTTTTATGGGTACCTAACATTGTTGCAAATATTTTACCTTTTACGTGTATCTAAAAGCTAAAAAAAAAAAAAAAATTGACACAAATTAAAAGAAATTCACTAAAGCCAAAATATAAGAAAAATAAAATTACTAAAACTAGTTTTTGAGTTTGAAAACTAAACAGATGAATTATGTTTTATTATATCAAAATAGTCATAAATCATTTTTTACATTCTTTCTACATATTAAAAAAGAAGTGTCAATAAACAAATCCTAACCTAAAAAGTCTATTCATAAGCAAATCGGAAGTTTTGGGCTCTACAATTCTTAAAGTGTAATGTCAAAGGCTTCATGAAAATTATCTACCTTTAGATTAGTTTGTGATGTTTTATTGTATGTTATGCAATTACATATCCAATGGTGGAGAATCTTTATGAAGCTTTTCATGATATTTCTTTTATGAAACCTAGCATTACTCATTCTTAAAATTCAAAAGTTAAAGAATGAGAGATTAATAAGAATTCACAATTTTTTTTCCAATTAAATCCCAAATTTATTTTTTCAAACTTACACTACTGTGTTCTAAGAAATAGATGTGAGTCCCCCAAATATTTATAATAGAACTCCAATACATGTTGGGGAGCATTTGAAGAATGTCGGAATTCAATACGGACAAATGCCTATTTAGAAGTGTCTAAGCTTCATAGAGTATGTATCTTTATAAATTGAGCTATCTGATTCAAAATTATGAGAATTAGTTCAATTGCATCAAGATCGAGGTCAAAAGAGAACTTCAAGACCTGCAATATCAGTTTCCACAAGATTGTGAAACATTTACTCATTCTTCCTTCTAGATTATATTTGTTGTTCTTCTTTCTAGGCAATATGAGCCAAATCAGTGATTAAAATGCAATAGGATGGGAAGATAGTCCATTATTGTTAGTGCATGAAATACTACAGAGGTTATATGGTTTTCCTGCTCTGTTTGTTGAAAACTTGAAGCAAGCATGTAATTTCAAGAAGGCTAGGTTTTACCTTGGATGTCATTAAATTGAATAAAACTTAGATCCAACCTTTCCAGGTTCCCAAGATAAGCTAATTCTGCACAAAGAAACAGCAAAGTGATGAGTTTGCAACATAGTAATACCAAGATTAGTAAAAATAATTATGTAATTGTAATTATGATTACCAGTTCTGAACTTCTTGTACAAATAAGAAACAATCATGAATTTTCAGACAAAATTGAAGTTACCTTGAGGTGGAAATAATCCCCCAATGTTATTTGCACGGAGATTAAGCATCTTAAGGGATCTAAGCGCACTCAAAGATGGCAGAATGCTATCATCAAAGTCGTTCCATTCAAGATTTAGAGTCTCCAATTTTCTCAAAGCCGACAGCTTTTCAAAACCTGCATGAAAATTTTGATAAAATAAATCATTGACACTTCGATTCAACAAAGCATTAGTTCCAAGGATCCAAATACCACGAGATTGGTGTTGAATAAATTTTTCTTACCCAAGTAATTCGTATATATTATATCCTTGATTACACACAATGCAATGATTAATTGATCAACCAACATTGTAACAAAAAATGACCCACTCCCTCCATTTGAACAAATACAATCTTCAAAGTTTGTGCTACTATAAGTACATATGCCATCAAGAGATTCAGTTCTTTTTTTTTCTCTATGTTCTTTCCCAAGGAACAAACTTACAAATGCACTAATGCAACAGGTTGATAAAGAAATGTAAGTTGTACAACTAGTTCTTATCTTGCATTCATATTTTTCTTTCCAAAATTGTTTGCGGTACATAGTTATATTCAATGGCGGAGCCAGAAGGTTAAATTAGGGGTACTTATTAATTACAATATTGAAAATTTTTACAAAAATATTTCACGCAAATTTTTACAATTGATTTCAAGAAACATCAAAAAAATAATGTTATTTATAATTAGTGTATTATGAACAATATAAAAAAATATGGATATAAGTCTTAAAATAAATTATATAATGATAAATTATTTTTTTATTCAAAATTTGATTAAAAACTCAATATAATGGCAATATCACGTCATCATTAGTATGTGATATCACCAACTAATAGTAAATAAACACATAGAGAGTGAACCTCACATGTGTAACTAACAATCCAATAAATTTCATATCTTTATAACGAGATTATTTATACTTGCATGTCAATAATAATGACATTACCGTTACATTTAAAATTTTCATAGATAATATAATTTATAGTAATCTCTTCATTTTCAATCAAAACAACCATTATTATTTTCATAATTTTTAAAATGTCATTGGCATTTCACTCTAATAATATTTTTGTAATTCTTTTTATTTAAAATATTTTCTTCATATTTACAAAAAAAAAATCACAAAATCACAAAATCTAAGGGAGCACGTGACCCCCGGTCCTTGCGTGGACCAAGGATCCTCTAGAGTGAAATTTCTCTAAAATTTCCTAAAGTGCTACATTGTGTGGTTGAGATTTACTGGCAAGTCACATCAATTTTTCTAATGTGACTTGCCAGTAAATCTCAACCACACAATCACACACTCTAGGAAACTTTAGGAAAAAATCAATTTAGAGAATCCTTGCTTGCGTGGCTCCGCCACTGGTTATATTGGACCGGAAATATGGTTTTCCTATCAATATCTGGAGGAGTAAAGTTATATTGTTATCTATAGGAGTATAGTTATATTATTATATTCAACATTAACACTCTCTCTCTCTCTAGAATCTTCTCTCTGGAATCTTCTCTAACTTTCTCTTTAGATATTTCTTGTTAGATTTTGGTTAAAGGAATGTGTGGGTGTGAAAAGCTTGGGCTGCCACCTTTATGAAGAATTCTGGAATTTCAAAGTCGGTGGATATAGCCGACTCTTGCAGCTATAAATACGAAATTGGTCTTCTATGTGTGTACTTGCAGTGATTGGGGGAAACATGATTCGGATTGGTCTGGATTAGAGTAAAAAATTGATCAATTTATTATCAACGATTCCTAAAAAAATAGAATTAATCCAATTCGTTTAAATTGTGGAACCAATTTGTTTAAATCATGGAACCAATCTGCACCAATCCATTTAAGCACGGATTGAATTAGTTTAAAACCATGGATTCACATAATTAAATAATAAAAAAATATATAAAACATTTTAATTTTATAAAAATATAAACATAGCATCAGTTCTACAATAATAACATGTCTTTCCACAATAGCGGCATGCTATTCTAAAATTTAAACAATCATAAGAAAACGGGTTCTACCATAAATATTAAGACCATTACAAATTAAAACTAAAACCAACAACAAAAGCAATAAAAAAATATACTATGCAGGTTTAGGTTTGGATTTAGATTTTATATGGAATAAGAGAAGATTCTATGCGGGAGAATGTATAATAACCCTGTTTGGTACAGCTTTTTTTCAGCTTATTTTAGCTTTCAGCTTAATTTAAGCTATTTTGATGTGTTTGGTTTAGCTTAAACTTATAGCTTATAGCTTTTTGTAAGTCAGAAATCAGCTTATTCTTTGAGTGGGGCAGGAGAAGCTTAATTTTTAAGTCAGAAATCAGCTTATGTTCATAATTATAAGTTATAAGCTGATAAGGTATAAGCTATAAGCACTTTCCCACAGCTCTACCAAACAGGGCCAATATAAATATAGCTATTTATATATGGTCCAGATCAGTTCCAATCAGAAACCGTGGGGTTCAATCCGAAACCGATCCGTGGATTACGAATTTTTAATTTTTCAATCCAAAACTAAATCATGAATTTAAAAATTAATTCAAACCTATCAAATTAGATTGGATCAAATCAAATTATGAATTTTACGAATTTCTAACGCAGCACTACGTAGTGAGAGAAAGGATAAGTGTTGGTGTGTGCGAGAGTGAATGCAAAGAAAGTGTGTGAGATATATATATATACAAAACGTGTGAGTGAAATAGCATGAGTGAGCTGTGTCGGTTGTCATGAGAGTGTAGTAATGTCTTGTGTAAGTGGTGTCTCGTAAAGTCTTGATCAAGTCAGCACATATGTGCTAGTAATATAGTGTACTATTGTGTGCAAGTGGATTTTGGATTTGTTGGGATGTATTCGTGTGTTATTAATAAAAGGAATAAAGCTTGAGACCCCAGTGGGGGTGCTGGGGGTATCCTGTGATTGGCCCAAAAAATAAGTTTTTTTTTTTTCAGCCAACCCTAGGCCGACATGTGGCACTAGGGGGGGTCACTGGGGGTCACCCCCACTGGGGTCCCCATCAGAGTTGTAATAAAGGGTTAAATTACACTGACACCTTTAAGGTTTGGTTTAATTACAATTTATTTTTTGATATTTTAAAAATTATACTCTCATCCATGTAATTAATAGTCTCATTTCACAAATCCCCCTACTTATATAAAAGGCAACAACTCTTAGTAGAAAAACAAAAGAAATTACATTAAAAAAAAAAGTAAAATAAACGAAAAAAAAAATAAAATGTAGGAAGTAAAGCAAAATAAGAAAAGAGAGAGTGTATGAGTTTAATGTGTTTATTCCGTCTAAATAATTACAATGATAGGGGATTAGTATAATTTCACAAATGTCAAGGGATAATATATATTAAATCTAAATCTCAGGAGGTGTAAGTGTAATTTACCCTTAATATATATATATAGATATCAAATTTTGTGTCAAGCTCAACACATAGTTATATTAGATTAGAGATATGGTACATCATAGGTTTCTTGTCAACATTTCAGAGTCTATCTTAAGATCCTCCTTTGATAAGAAACAAAGATAATGTCATTTTTTTTTTTTTGATAAGTAAAATATTTTCATATCCAATGAAATGACATTATTGATAAAAAGAGCATGTAAAATCAGGGGTCACTTTCATCAGGTGTAGTTACATGAAGACATCATCACTACAGTGTAGCTGGATTTGCATTCCTTATTCAATATGGATTTCTAGGAACCCTTCAATTGTTCTTCCAAAGGTGAATCTTGCATGGTGGTTTGGTAAAAAAAAAATTTCTAGCAATGAATTTCAGACATCTTGGTGATTAAAAGTTACTAACAATCAAATTTTAAAGGTTTACCGCCAAAACATTATGTCACAAAATTTGAGAGGGAGTAAAAAAGAATGTCATTGCAAACTGATTGCAAACATCACACCTTGGTCACCAGTTAAGTTTTTATTCTCCTCTTTCCTTATACTATTATAAACTTCAATGACTTGAGTTCTGAATGAGTTGATCCTATGAAATCAAATAGACAATAAAAGAGAGATGCAGAGATGGCTATTGTGTTACCTTGCATTGGGAGACAGCCATGATAACCATTGGTGCTTATATCCAATGTTTCCAAGTTTCTCAATGCTACTAATTCTACGCCAAGAATATACATGTATGAGTAACCATATATATAATTAAAAAGAAACTGCATAGAAAGAGAAGCACAGAATTATGTACGCCCTATGAAAATGAATGGAGGTGAAAAATCTAGAAATCCCCTAGATATTGATTTGTGATTATGTAACAATTTTAAGCAGTATGTAACAATTCCAATCAAACAATCAAGACAAATCAACACAACGATTTTAACGTGGAAAAATCACAATTGGACACCTCAAACTGTGATTAAAAAACCACAGGCAACAGCCACAAAACAATTCACTAAGAAGATTTAAAGGAATTACACAAGTATGCTCTCAATTACCTAGCGAATCCACGCCTAATTGAACCAACCTCTATGTGCCTCTTCCAACCCCGTCTTCACCTCGGAATTGTCTTTACGATGAGCCACTCCAGAATCCATCGAAGCTTCAGGCTCGAATTCTTCAGAATCCACCGAAGAACAACTCTCTCTCTCTTGTGTATAGCAAACAAAACCTTTGATGTACTCTCTTTAAACCATGAGTTGAATACTCAATAAAACATCAAAGAAAACTAACAAAATATCCCCAGATATAAACCTTAAGAACCAAAAAGAAGATCTGGAGGAATTCAGGAGTAGTCTAGTTTTTGGGAGAAAACCAACTACTTATAGAAAACCAAAAGTAATCCTAGATTTGGAAGAAAACCCAATCCTTTTTGAAATTCGAAAAACTGTGTTCGCGCGGTCCGCTCGAGCGCCCAACATCCCGCTCGAGCGTCTTCAACAAAATATGTGTGTGACAAAATAGAGGTCCACTCGAGCTCGAAATCACATCTTCCAGTATTTTTACAAACCTGACAAACTTCTGAAACCCAGCATTCTTCGCTCGAGCAGGGGAATGTCTGCTTGAGCGGACAAGCAACTTGGAATGCATTTTTGCATTTTGCTTCGGGGGTGCTGCCCCTCGACCCCGCCTGGGCGCTGCCCCGGACCTGCCAAGGGGCGCTGCTCCCTAGACCCCCGCGAGCTGACCAGGCAGCTCGATCCCCATCATAATCAGTGAAGTGGCAATCTTGAAATAAAAGTTCGAAAACAAATACAATTGAAAGAAGTTTTGTCAAACAGGGTTGCCAAAAATAAAACCTAACAGAAAGGAAACATGCCATGTGCAGGGAAGTATCCTCCCAAGGCATTGTCACTGATAATCAAAGTCTTAATTGAAGTGTGAGCACCCAAAGAGTGGAGGATATTATTGTCATCAAAGTCATTGGAACCCAAATCCAAGATCTCCAGTTTCCTCAAATTTAACAATCTTTCAAATCCTGCAAAGAGGAGTACAGTCATCACAATTCAAATATAAATTTTTGCAGGTTATAGGAAAGGCTGTGATCCTTAAAAACTGATGAATTTTTGGGCAGAAAGATCCTTGGTTTCAGTTTTACAAATATAACCCTTTTTTCTCTTTTCGTTCCTTCCCCCCCCCCAGTTTTGACAACTCACATTGGTCGACTAGCCACGCCTCGAGTCATGAGTTGAGACTATTGTGAATTGGGTTTCATCGCAAAGTCGGTGTGGAGAAGAGTTATATGGATGTATTTGAAAGCATCCATTTCAAATCCCTCTACGTGAAGTTAAATGTAAAATAAAAATTTTCTTTGTTTGTTATCTAGGTAGATTAAAAAAACAAAAATAGGAAAGTAAATAGGAAACAATTACTTTTTTATTTTCTTAATTTCAGATCATCTGTAGAAAAAATAGAATCTTACAGCATCTATAATCATTTGTCAAACTCAAATTTAATGGAAAAATACTTAAAACTGAGTTCCAACCTGTATCAATATCAAATAAAGGGATAACCAAATTTTTCATCAACTCTAGCCTCACTTAATTCTTTCATCAAATGCTCCACGGCCATGTTTTTATTCAACTATGGATAGGAGTAAGGATTGAGGATGGTTTTTTATTTATTTATTTAATTTTTGAACTAAGGATTGAGAATGGTTGAAACACTCATTTCTTTCATAAGAAAAAATGGTTAAAAGAGGCTTTTGGAATGGGCTAAGAAATTAAAATTTTGATTATAGCATTGGTAACCTTCATATTAGATCAAGCTTTTAATTGAATTTTTACTCAAAATTCATGAAAAAAGAACCAAAGAGTAAAGATTGGGGACTGCCTTATATGAAATGATTTGTAACTTAAAAAATGTCACCATCACATATTTCATTTTAAAAAATGCCAATGACGGTCTATAGAGTTATTATTTGTCTAGGTTGACAAATAAAATATACATTAAAATGTGTAAAAGAAATTAGGGCAAAATACCAATAAATCCCAAATTTTAATTTGTTAAACCATTTGATCCTGCCTTTTATTTTGTAGACTAATAAGTCCTATTTGAATGATAAAGCTTACTATAGACCTTTTTTAGATTTCCCTCATTTTCGAACATCAGCAACATTAACTACACCAACAACATTATCAACATCATCAAACTTCAACTACATCATCAAACATCATCAACATCACCAACATCATAAAACATTATCAACATCATCAAACATCAACTACATCATCAAAACATCATCAACATCACCAACATTGTGAACATTATCAAACATCAACTACATCTTCAACCTCATCAAACATCAGCAACATCATCAACATCATCAAACATGAACTACATCATCAAACATCATCAACATCACCAACATCATAAAACATCATCAACATCACCAACATTAACTACACTAACAACATCATCAACATCATCAAACATCAACTACATCATCAAACATCATCACCACCGTCCGCCTCTTCAACACCGATCCCGATACACTCACATCATTCTCCAGTACCAGCACCTCCCTCAAGATCGGAGTCCCCAACGAACTCCTCCCTTCTCTCGCCACCACCACCATAGACCCCTCTCTCCAATGGCTCCAATCCAACATCTTCTCCCACATCTTCCCCCACCCAAATCAAGTACATTGCCATAGGCAACGAAATCCTCCTCAAAGACCCATTTTACACAACCTATTTAGTCCCTGCCATGAACAATCTATACATAGCTCTTCAAACTTTGGGTTTATCAGACACAATCAAGCTCTCAACATCTCACGCAGCCTCGATTTTGATGAATTCATACCCTCCCTCAGCCTCATCTTTCGACCCAAATCACCAATCAATAATGGGTCCATTGCTGTAATTTTTGAAGGATACTGGGTTGCCATTAATGGTCAATGTGTACCCATTTTTCAGCTTCACAAACAACCTACAATTCGTATCGTTAGACTATGCTTTGTTTCGGAGAAGGAACATAGAGATTGTTCAGAACTTGGTTTATGATAATTTATTCAATACGACGATTGTGTTGAATTCACCCATCTGGACACCTTCTATGTGGGTGTGTTTTTCTGCTTGGTATGATTTCTATAAGGTCTTGGGCGGGATTCCCGATTCCAACAGATTGATGCGTTTGTTTATGCGATGGAGAGAGAAGGGTTTGAGGGGATTCCAACATCATCAAACATCATATATCAAAAACATATATCACACCATAAATAAAAGGGTTTAGTTATGGTGTGCAACTTACACCTTACACCTTATGCCTTACACTTACACCTTACACTTACACCTTTTGTAAAAAATTAAACCTTACACTTACACCTTTTTTGAGGTTGCACACCATATGCAACCCACTTACACCTTACACCTTACACTTACACCTTACACTTACACCTTATACTTATACTTACACCTTACACTTACACTTTTTGTGTAAGTGGCACATGGTGTGCACTTCTATTCGTAGGACAATTATCCGAATCAAAGTTTTTAGTTCAATCCTACTGTATCATTATGATACCACCTCAATCAATATCACAAAATGAACCCAAGAGGCTCCAAGTATAAAAATAAAAGTGTTCAGAGCAATCCCATTAATCCAAGAAGTATGAAGTGTCATAGAAAGAGTATAGGATTGAAACAAAAACACTGAGAGTGAGATGTGTAGAGAGAGAGAAAAGGGTTGCATTTGTTGTAGTTGCGAATGTAGGCTTCTGTGTTGTGGAGGCAGGTCTTCACCAGAGGGGAGAAAAGGGAGAGATAAAGAGAGTCGCTATACTTTCTGGGGAGAAGAGGGAAGGAGGGGGGAGAGAGAGAGAGAGAAGGCAGATGTGGATAGGTGGAGCAGAGGGGGAGAGAGAGATGAGAGAGTAGTGGAATGATAAAAGAGGATAGAAGTGGTGAGAGAAGAGAGAGAACATTTGCGCGGGAAATGAATGCATCTCCGCCATTGAATTTTGGATGGAATAATCTGAACCATTAAAACTAAATGTATCTCTGATACATTTTAGACATTTTCAAAAATCCTTCTGTCTTATTATATAGATTGTATTTTTACTTCTATTTTGACATTCAGTGACGTGGAACAAATTGTGCTGATGTTAGTTTGGGTTAATTGTGGTAAATTTACAATCTAGAATGGCTAAATAGAATGGTGCAATATGTATGGGCATGCTTCTTGTTTTTGAAAAATAGCATGAAATTTAATTTTGGACAATTCAAAACATATCAAATTTATTTTATTTATTTGTTTTTATATATATATGATATGCTATAATATAAACGGTTTGATTTGAACTTCGGCCCCAGTCTTACTAAAAAAAGAAAATTATGAAGAAAAATCTTATTTTAAGATAATAATCTCAAATAATATTTAATTAATTGAAATAAAAGTTGAATGCCATTAAATTTTGTGAAATAAACTTTGTTTGGTTCTGATTTTTAGAAAACAGTTTTCAGAAAATTCAATTTTTTTATTTTTCATACTTTAATGTTTTCAATGAATTTTTTAAAATATTTTAAGCAATTTTTTTAATTTTTAGACACACATAACATAAATACACTTAAAAAATATAATATTTGTGAAAAAAATCTTTAAAAAATACACTAAATACCAAAAAATACAAACAAAAAAAAATAAAAATTCAATACATTTTTTGTATTTATTAATTTTTTAAAATATTTTTCA